CAACCATGGCGAGAGCATAAATGGAGTCTACAAGGGCATTAGGGCAATGTCAGTATCTGTCCTAGTGGAGATGACATACTGGAAGGTAAACGAGTGGTTTGTGAAGAGACGGGAGGGAGCGTGCTGGTCATTCAATAGCACATCATATATTTGATGGCATGCAGAAGATCGAAGAGAAATCAAGTAAGCACAGAGTTGTTCTGTTCAACCGCAATGAAGGTGTTTTTGCTGTGCAAACAGGTATATGGGGTGGAGGAAGACGTGGGCATAATCGTCAATCCGTTACTTTACATGTAGAAACTCGCACCGGAGAGTGTACATGCCAAAAGTATCAAAACAGAAGAGTACCTTGTTCACATGCAATGGCAGTAGCTAAGTCGATAACCCTCAGCGCTTACAGTTTGGTTAGTCCTTACTACACGGAACAGGCGATTAGGAACTCCTACTCGTCAAGTTTCAGCCCCCTGCCGGATGAAGCTTATTGGCCTGTAGACAATGGGAAGTTGATTATCCCACCGTTGCACTTAAAGCGCACCAAAGGTCGTCCTAGGACCGAAAGGATTCACAATGAAATGGATCAATCACAACGTGCCCGACGAGGTCCAAAGCGTTTCTCAAAGTGCAGACAACCGGGTCATGACAAGAGGCGTTGCCCAGGTCCACCTCTAGAGCAAGATTTGGGGCCAATTCCGAACCAACCTTGAGTACTCTGTTGTTCACTTCCTTGTCATTTTCGTTGTTGTGATGTTTAAGTTGGACTTCTTGTTTTAATCTTGTTGAGTGATTGTAATGAAGGGTGTCTGTTGTTTACTTTGGTAGTTCATGGAAAACAACACAATCTCAAACCAAATTAAGACGACATAGATAGTTCATGGAAAACAACACAATCCCAAACCAAATTAAGACGACATAGATAGTTCATGGAAAACAACACAATCTCAAACCAAATTAAGACGACATAAATAGTTCATTGGTTGTCTTCATTTCCCTCCACTTCCCCTTCTCTTCCTCTTCCTCCACGACCTCCTCGACCCCTTCTTCTGCCTTCTCTACCTCCTCCTTCTTCACGAGCCCGCTGGACAACTACTCGCGGATTCCTCTTAACCCGACCACCCACCGGAGTCTAGACAGGTGGTGGGGGTTGATATGGCTGAGATGAACCAGAAGCGTGGTGGAAAGTCGATGATGTGTGTTGTTGTTGCGGGGTCTGATACTGAGCAGTTTGTTGCTGATGGTGGAAGTGAGGGGTGCCTTGGGTGAACATGTCATGTTCCTGAGTCGGGGCATAGCTTGACGACCCTCCGGTGCCCTCAGTACTAGTTGCCCACTCACAATGTGGCCATGGTTCAGGAAGTTGAGTTTGTTGAGACGGACGAAGCTCTTCAATGTTTTCTCTCACCCTTCTTCTGCTCCTCCGTGGGGGCTCTTGTGGGGGCACGATCCTCTCATCAGCACGGAATGAGGTCGGGGCGGTGCAGGCATTGGAGGGTATAATACGACATCCCTCCTTTGATCTCGGGTACAACAGAGGAGGTTGTTGAAAAGCCTGCGCAAAAAAGATGTCTTCCGCTCATCCATGGTGGGTGCACTCTCGACAGTGTGCTTGGCATGTTCCAAACCGTCAACCTAATAAATTGTTGTACAAAATTAACTAACATTAAGACAAAGAGGCATCCTTAAATCTAATAATGTTAATTAACATTCTAGCTAATATAGGCATGCAATCATACTAACCAAAACTTAGTCAAAGAGGACAAAATGGAATTCACTTACCACTGCGCCCCAAACAGCACCTTGCTTTGACAGCCATCTTAGCGTGAAATTTTGATACCGCCGCATGTAGCCATCGTGGTACCCCATTGGCCTCATCTCCGGCAACCCTTGGACCACCCACTGATTTCTATTCTCCCATATGTTGATGTAGAATTCATGCTTCTTGACCCAATCCTATTTGGTGTGGCGTAGGTCAATGGCGTGGAGCTCCCTGAACCCTTGAGGTGGGGATGCTGGAATTGGTTGCTCCAATCGATATTGCCTCAAAGATCGATCGGGCAGGTGCCATTCCACCATGTGGAAGCAGATTAAGGGCACCTTGCACAACCATGTCTCTTCATCCTCGGGATGTCTAAGACGATGCAACTCAACCACTTCATTTGGATATGGATCCCATACCGCCTACAATCATTATAGTTCATGAAATTAGTACAAATTATATCCACTCCACCTAAAAAATTGGAAATGATGAAATTTTATATTTTTACCTGGTTCCACCAAGGCTTATCAAATTCAGCACGATAAAACAGCAAAGAGTGTTCGGGCTGGTGGTCGTTTGTATATGCTCTGATCCACCTAATTAAGCAAAAGTACGTATATAAGCAATTTTTATGGCATAGATGTTTACTTGTTAAGTATGATTGTATGGAAGCATCTAAATTGAACTAAAATTCCTTACTTGGCAATAATCTAAATTAGCTAAATACGATTTGGTTAGAATAAATCTAAATTTGCTAACTTGGAAGATATCTAAATTTACTAAAATACTATAATTGCAGACCTAAAATGTCACTAAATTTGCTTACTTGAAAGATATCTAAGTTCACTAAAATACTATAACTGTAGACTTAAAATATCCCTAAATTCGCTTACTTGGAATATATCTAAATTCACTAAAATTCACTAAATTCGCTTACTTGGAATAGATCTAAATTCACTAAAATACTACCATTGCATATCTAAAATAAATTAAACTTAAATTAAACTTACTTGAAACCATATGGGGGATTTGCTACAAATCGTAGCTCATCATCTGGCAACCAGAATTCCCGAGGGTCTCGAGGTGCTAAAAACGGAAGATGCTCCCATGCCCAGAGTTGGAGTATGAACATCGCACCACCAGCTTGTTTGGCTCCCAACCTCGAGCAAGTACACAACTCTCGGTAGATCCCAGCCAAGACGGCCGACCCCCAACTTTTTTTCCCGATCTCGTCCCAGTCACCGAGGAGCATATTTAACCACATGCCTTGTATCCACCGGTTTGACTTGTCGGGGAACAGAAACCCACCAACCAAACCAATTAGGTAGACACGTGCATACCGCTCCACCTGATCTTCAGGAGTGTCCGGGCCTATATTAACCTCCATTTGGATGTGGTCAACAAGCCACGGGACCGATACTTGCCCCGCATTCAGTGGTGGATGCCCAACCCCGTCGACGGGCGTGGTGGTCGGCATGTTGAACCCCAAACGCTCTTGAATCAACGGCCCCCAACCATCTTCCAGTTTTTTCGAGTTGTCGATGATGGCATCTCCGGTGATCGCGAGCTCGGTGAGGATGGCAACATCTTTGAGGGTGATCGTCATTTCACCCTCGGGAAAGTGGAAGGTATGCAGCTCGGGGCGCAATCGCTCTGCCATTGCCATCAGCAGATCGTTGTCAATATCAAGCCTCATAAAGTGCCTCAACATGTGCAATACCGTCCTCTCTAGATAGGGCTGCAGTCGATCATGCCAACGGGGCAATCGACATGTCCCTCGATGACTGATGGGAATAAGTGATTCCTACAAAACAAAAAACACAATATTGTCAGTCAATAGAAAGCAAAATTAAAACTTTAAAACTATTGAAATAATTTTAGTGTGTCTACCGGATTATTGTTCCAAATTGAACGGGAGCGATGTTGATCTTGCCCGGTTAAATACCTTCGATCCCTTGGGCCAGGATCGATATACAATCGAGGGTCGTATATCTCAGCACCCATCTATAAAAAAATATGAAATCAAATCAATTTAAATTTTAGCACCCATGTAAAAAAAATCACAAAAGAATAAATTTAATTTACGTACTCTCAAAGCCTCTTCGTCCATTTTTTGCCGAAAAGCTAGCGAGAGTATCGACAAAACAAAAACTCTAGTAATTCTTTCTGATGCGGAAGATCGGACTTTGCCGCAACCACAGAGCATGCTTAGAACGAAACTAGAGTGAAATAATGGAGGGAGAAAGAAGTATTAGATGTGTGGTGTGGTTTGGAATGAAGGGGGGAGGGGTATTTATAGTGTTTGGGCGCTGGAAAAGTCTTGTGAATTAATCACCGCGTCGAAGAAACACAGTGAATTCACTGCGCCCAACAAACGCGGTGATGGCCTGGATCGGTGACGTGGCGCCATGTGAGGCGTCGGATCGTGGAGAAAAACCACAATCCGCGCCTCACTGCATCGAACGGCAGCTGTGAAGGCGCGGGTGGGGCGGATCGGTGACGTGGAAAGCGGGGCTATCACCGCTTTAGTCATTAACGGTGAAGTGCCCGCGCGCGTCCACGTCAGCGATCCGCGCCTATTCACCGCTTTTCAATCCAACGGTGAAGATCTCTTCACCGCGTCCCTTATCAACGGTCGTACAATCCCCGCGTTTGACCAAAACGGTGATTGCATCACTGTTTTGGTTAAAAGCGATGATGCTATCACCGTTTTGGTCAAAAACGGTGATTGCCATCACTGTCTTGGTCTACAACAGTGATGTTGAAACTGCTGTATTTTGGGAAATAAGTTTATAAGTACTATATTTTGGGATTTTTTTTAATAATTAGAGTATTTTGGGATTTTTTTCTCCATCCCTATCCTCCCTACAATCCTATGAAGAGGTTCTTGACCAAAACCCCCTTAACCTCTCTTTTCCTGCGCTTAGGGGTGGGCATCCGGTTCGGTAAACCCGAACCGAACCTAACCGAACCGATTTCAAACCGAACCGAAACCGAAATTATGTTGTTCGGTTCGGAAATCGGAAACAAAAAATGCATAGTTCGGGAGCCAGGGTCGTGTTGTCCGAACCGACAATCCGAACACCGAACCGAAAAACCGAAAAACTTAATGTACATAGCCTAACTCTCCACACAACCCAATTAAGCCCAAACCCTCACTTACAGCCCAACTCTCCCCACAACCTACCGAGCCCAAACCCTCGCAAGTTACAACCCTACCCTCTAGGCAGTCCGCCCCCTTTCCCACTCACGGCCGTCGCCGCTCCACTCCGCCGCTGTCTTCTCGAGGACCTCGATTCCTCTGGCTCTCCATCAACGCCGTCCCATGCAGAGCACAGCCGATTGACCCCTTCCCATTCCCTCCACCCGCTCCAATCTCATACCCAAAAACCTGCAAAGCAAAGAACGAAACACATTCAAAGAACAAACAGAGGCAAAATCCATAAAAAAATCTCTAATTGAAGAAGCAAATTGAGGAGACAGAGAAGAATTGAAGATCGGCAACATGCAAAGCACGAAGAAAGCAGTAGTAGGTGGGGAATCTAGATCTACAATCTGGATTTGGGACTCTCTCAGTGAGAGATGTAGATGCGCACCAAAATAAAAAACAGAGACGAAGGAGAAAAAAACAAACCAAAATTTACATGCAATCGCTGCCGCCGCTGGGTTGTCTTCTCCGTCGATGGTCATCGTCACTTGAGTTGTTGTCGTTGCCGTCGATTGCATGCCGCCGCCGGGTTTTCCTCTCCGTCGAACGCCATCGCCACCTGAGTTGTTGCCGTTGCCGTTGCCATCAATTGCATGTCGCCGCCTGCTGCTAGGTTGTCTTCTCCGTCGATCGCCATCTCCGCCTGAGTTGTTGCCGTCGTCGTCGAGTCCAGAGAGGGGAGGAGCAATCGCCGCTTGCGTTGTGCTCTGAGGAGAGAGAGAGAGACAGAGAGAAAAAGAGAGCGCATAATAGAAAATGGGGAGATAGATTAGGGTAAATGGGGAAGTTCGGTGTTGCCTTAAAACCGAATTCGAACCGAGATATATTTCGGTTCGGATGAACCGAACCGAAATATATCTCGGTTCGAATTCGGTCGGGCCTATGGAAAGTTCGGAAATTCGGGATAACCTTGTTCGGTTCGGTTTGAACCGAACCGACCGAACGCCCACCCCTACCTGCGCTGTGCGCAATCCACGGAAGGAGACTTTTGTAAATTGCTTCTCCTCCCTCAAAGCCCATTAGAGCTCCTATGGTTCCGTATATCCTATGTCAATCTGTCTGCCTTTCGCGTCCCATAGAATTAATAAATTATCCCGGGGAAGGCAATTAAACGCGCGCCACCAGATACTAATAATTATGTGGGCTCAATTAATAAACATACAAATTCCAGCATTATGTGGGCCCTTTTTTTTACGGGCTGCAAGTATAGGTGTCAATCGGGCGGGTTCGAGCGGGTTCAGTCGGGTCGCGGGTTAATCGGGTTACGAGTCAAACGGGTTGCGGGTCAAGCGGGTTCGGGTTGATCGGGTTGCGGGTTGATCGGGTTGCGGATCATTCGGGTTACGGGTTTATCGGGTTGCGGATCAATCGGGTTCGGGTTGATCAGATTGCGGGTTACAACAGGTCGGGTTGCGGGTTGTTCGGTCCACACCATCGAGTTTTTTTTATAATTAGTTATTACACTATATTTTTTAGGGAGTTATTACACTAATTTAAAAAAAACTCACCAATCACCATATTGCAATGAATAAAACATGAATGTACATTATTAAACAAATGAATGACTAGATTTTGCTTGAATATATCATAAACAAGTTTGATGTTGCTAGTTGTTGGTACCTTTTAGAGGATTCATTAAGGTTACAGAACCAACATAAATAAATAGTTGAACAACAAGAAATTAAAAAGCTGACAACTTGTTTGATCATAAACCTATGAAACCATCTCTTGAATCTTGATAGTTGAGAGTTGAGACTGTACATGGGCGTTGGGCCGTGCTTGGGCCGGCACGGCACGGGCCCATCTCGTGCCCATATTTTTCGTGTCGTGCTAGGCACAACCCATTAAATTTCGTGTCGTGCCATACAAGCCCATTTAACAGTTTTATTAGGCCCGGCCCGGGCCCAAGCACGAGTCAAGCCGTGCCGTGCCTGATCATGTCAATGTCGTGCTTTTATTTTGTTCACATTCGTGCTTATTCGTGCTTTCTAGTATAATTTAACTTTCATTCTTATTAATATTCTTTACTCAACTTCATCTACAAATTATTAACTTCCATACTAATATCTAGCACTGCATTTTCGCGTAGCTAATTATAAACCGCTTGTCATATATCCACTATACATATATTAACATGCAAATTGAAAACACGAACTCTTTGTAACATGAGTAACGACAGTGGACTCGAAGAAGGGGCGGGGGAGCTCAATCAAATTGATGTGCGATTGATGGACAAACTCGTAAGTAAAATAATTATTATTAACAATCAAAAGAGTCCAATCTTGTAGTCAATAATTCCATAATATTACAATCTACATCACGGCAATAACTAGATCCCAGTAACTAACTGCTCAATAAACTATAATATTAGAGTCAACATCAAGATAATCTATACAGAGTTAATGTTCAAATTTTGATCCTTCTTCGAGCAAACAAAATCTTTGTGCCATGAACTCCATTCCAAGCAACCTGCACTGTTGTATCTGCCATGAAACTTCAAAAACAGCAGCCGCATCACAAGTTATTATGCTGCCACGTCTTTTTTAGCACACAATTGATAATCTCAGTCCAATTCAACCAACATGACAGAAAAAAATTGAAAAACAAAGTCCAATTATAATACATTAATATACTTTTGCTATTGCTGCACTACTTCTACTGCTATGGGTTGTACTGCTTTTGTTGTTGCAGATCACTAGGTTAGAACACAATAATTTAGGTCCAAAGCAGAAGAACAAAGCTTTCTTTCACAAGTCAAGCATGTTTGGAAAAGCCTAACTATACTAGGGAAGAGATAACTAAAGTTCTCAAGTGCCAATCTGTACCAAGGTTAGCTATGTAAAGGTTTTCATTGCAAACAACACTCACCATGCAACATGAACCAACTGCTGCGATCTGTGGCTTCATCGGCCATTGCCTCATCAGAACCAATATGAAGCCATAAAAAACCCCTTTAGAAATGACCAAATCCACCAACTGACTGAACATGTGGAACATATTAATTACATCTCATGTAGCATACTAACTCTTATCTTCAAGACCAAAAGACTTCATACCACTGCAATTGCAATTAAATCCAATGGAACATCATACCAAAAGACTCTAAGGATTCCTCCATTGCAATTTCACAGAGAATAGCAATCTCAGCAAAGATGATAGTTTGTAAAGCACGCAAAGAACGAGCTTTGACAAAAGATCCACTTTCAAATAAGCTTTCTGAAAATTAGATGAGGAATACCACTCGCATTAAGTATCCAGAGGTAAGGAATATCACCTTCCATGCCCAGGTACCTAGAATGGCAAGCTTACACAATCTCAGTGGCAGGATTCCAAGGAAATAACACATAATGAGTAATAAGTTTATATCAATGAGATGTGACGAATTCAAGTTTGAGAATTTTTAGATTGTTCATAATCAGTAACAAGCAATTCAACACTGAAAGTCATACCAGTAGAAACTATTTCAAATCCTTTCCTATAGCGATATTCGACAACAGGGCAAAAACAAGGTTCATCTCAGATGCGTCGACCCTTGACTGCATCCACCTGTTCCACCTCAGATGCGTCGACCCTTGACTTCTCAAGCAACCCACAGAAACGATACAAGGATCAAGCAGCAGCACAAAAGAGAGGGAAATCTGAACCTAAAACGCACATTAATGAAGTGGAATCAAGAAGCAGAGGTGAAGCACGATTTTAAAACAAAGCATAAGAGGAACCCATCTTGAACCTCAGATGATGGTGCTGTAAGGACAAAGCTTGAAACCAGCCAGTCGAAACCTAGAAAAATACAACAATTGAAACACCTGAGACCCAATAGTTAGATGAAACGAAGTCCCAATAGGTAAGACACAAGGAACTTGAGAAGCCACGATTAAGGAATAAAATTTGCAGCAAACCAATTAAGAGGTAGGAAGCATAAATTCAAACCAGAGCCAAAATCGAAAGCACGTTGAAGGAAGATGGAGCATGCGAGATGCTTTGTCTCAAGAAAGCGATTGATTGTTGGCTGTGACTCTTCCGGCCGCATCATAGGCAAAGTTTTATGAGCCGCAAAATTGAGACGGAACGGAGGGAAGCTGGACGCGGGACTCAGCGGAGACGATGGCGGTAGCGTTAATGGTGTCGACGGTGGTGGTGGTGGTGGTGGTGTTTGGGGATAGATTCAGGTTTAGAAAGAGGGGAAGAGATTTGATAGAAAGAGAGGGGAAAGTAATGAGAGACAAGGTAGGGGATATAGAGAAAATCAGGCTAGGGTTTGGCTCTATTTCTTTGCAGAAGAACTAGCGTATGAGAGAAAGAGGGGAAAATTTTGGGCTCAGTTCGTTTCTCTCTTGTAAAGAAGGAAGAGAGCTTTTTTACCAAGAGAGAGGGAAGACAAGTAATTTCAATTTTTGGGGAAAATTTTGGGGAGCTATGGCGGCATATTTTTTCCTATGTGAAACTTTTGGAGCCAATGAAATTGGAGCTTTGGCGGCATATTTTTGCCAATCTGAAACTTTTGGGGATATGAAATTTTTTGAGCCAAAATAATTTTGGAGTCTACTAATTTTGTTGTCAAAAATAAATTGTTACATTAGAAATTAAAGGTGGCTAATCATTAATCACGGTAATGAAAATTAAAAACAGATAAATTATTTCCCGTGACCAGAACTATACAATTAATTATAGAAAAGTTTCCAGTGATTATTAGTGTATTTTTTAGTACGGCAAATATTCCCGTGAATAAGATACGGTGATTAGAAACATGTTTTCCTGTAGTGTTTGGACCAAATTTTGGGGTTAAAATATTTGGGGTTTATAATCAAATTAAGATGTACATTTGAATATGATATATTTAAGATGTACATTCACAAGTTAAATTAATTGTTAAAATCAAATTAATTAATAAACTATAAAAAACAAAATATCTATCACAAAGCATAACCATGAAGAAACCCTAACCCTAAACCCTAAACCCTAAACCCTAACCCTATAACACCATTTTAAATCTGAAACCTAAAACTAACCTTAACCATCAACCATACATTATCCTAAATCACAACATTAAGTAATTAACCCTAAAACTAACCTCAACCCTTAACCATAATTCCATAACCCAAACATGCAAACAATGAACTCTAAACTATGACCCTATACGGCTATACCCTATACTATAGTTATATGTTATGAAATTGTTGGAATAAGCTACAACGTATGTTATGTGAAGAAAGTAAGTTGAGTCAATTTTATATTCGGTTATTGAGAAGAACATATGTCCTATGACTCCAAACTCTAAACCACGAGTCCTCTACCGTATACCCTATGCACTAACCTTAAACCATGAACTATAGTTATGTATTATGAAATTGTTGGTTATTGAGAAGAACATATGTCCTAGGACTCCAAACGTTTAATATCCGTATTTAATGAAATGAATTATTAACTTTACTATTTTTACATATTGATTTATTTATAAAAGTAATTAGTTTTATATATTTATAACTATTAACGTACTATTAAATGTAACATTACCTAAGAGACGAAGTATAATACCCGTAAGTATTTTACACGTAACTTTCTCGTACCATATTTTACTAACTATGTTATACATTAAGTGAATTTTATGTATTATTAAATTTACTATTTTTACATATTGATTTATTTATAAAAGTAATTAGTTTTATATATTTATTACTATTAACGTACTATTAAACGTAGCATTACCTAAGAGACGAAGTATAATACCCGTAAGTATTTTATACGTAACTTTCTCGTACCATATTTTACTAACTATGTTATATATTAAGTGAATTTTATGTATAAGTTGACGTACAAAAAAATTAAGTGAATTTTATATATAAGTTGACATACAAAAACATTAAGTGAATTTTATATATAAGTTGACATACAAAAACATGTTAAAAAAATTAAATTTAGGTACTAAATATGCATGTCTATTAAGTTTGGGTACCAAACTGTAATTTGTATTTGGGCATGGGTACAAACCCAAATCCATTTGATATAAACCCAACTCAACCCAAAGTAAATGGGTATGGGTACAAACCCATCAAACTCTACCCATATCCATTTATTTGGATTTCATACCCAACCCAATTGGATTGGATAGTAAGAAACCCATGGGTATGGGCAAAATTGCCATCCCTATACATTATAGTCCTCCAACAATTTTAACCATTAGTTTTACTATTAAAATACCTTGTTTTGTACCTATGTAGGTTTAAGTACCCACATATTGTTAAAAGTTTGTCCATTAAAACTATTTCGATGTTCCCAAAAGGCTAAAACACATCACCACCTCCAAACCCACGAACTGTTGAAAAGAATTGGCTCTCTGATTCCATTCTACAGAGTTTCTTTTTACGCCTCCCTGGTCAATTTAGTCGTTCTGAGCTTGAAACCACTTCTAGGTAGGACAATTTCGTTTTCGTATGTCTTGGTCTCGGCGGCGATAGGAATGGGGAATTCCCGACAAATCTACTTCCAAATTGGCGGCCAGTTCCATGGTGTTGAAGGGATTTTACTGGATTCGTACGAACATTTAGTGCAGACTGAGGGGCAAATTGATTGCTATTGCTGGGAGGCGTTACGAAATTGGAACGATGATGAATTGGATGCTCAGTTTTTTTTCTCGATGAATGGGTGGAATCTATTCATCAAGTACGATCCAAAAGTCTACAAACAATCAACAAAGAACCCTTATAGCCCTTAACCAACTAAAATTACAAGTAATTGGTTTCTCACTCACTATCAACTACCACCGAAACGTCCCTCAATATACCAGAGCTTCTGAATAGCTGGGGAGCTTGCAAAAACCAGATCACCTTGCACCTTTGCTTCCACCACCATCTGCATTTTCCGAACCAATTCTTCTACTGTGAGACTTCTCTGGCCATATAGTCTTCGGCAACGCTCCCTCCAGACCTCACTTATTACCTCACTTATGCTCAGTTTTTCTCCTCAAGAAGCATCTCCTCAGATTCCCCGATTCTCCCTGCCGCCGCTGCAAACCTCGTCACCGTGAAAATCATGATTCCGGGAGCAAAACCAAGAGGAGGGAAAATCGGCAGCTGATCATCATCAAAGAATTGCGTCGCCAAAGCTATCGAAAACGCTATGGGTAGTAAAAAGGATGTTGTCCTTGGAAAGGAAAGTGAAGGGGAGGTTTGCAGTTGGTGAAATGCTCGAGCGATCCGGACCACGATTTCAAGTCTTCAATGGTGGAGATGATTATAGAGAAGCAGGTATTTGGGGCACTAGGCTCCTAATCCTGTAGTTTTGAGTGCTTGTGATGTAAAAGGAAGTGATATTTTATTGAATTTTTGTGCTTGGTTTGCTTTTGTATTTATTGTCCATTCTTGTTTCATTCGAGAGTTTGATTCATACCAATAAGACTACAGAAGGGAGATTTTGTTTATGGCAAACGACTGTGTTTATATAAGATGGTTGTGTTTATGCAACGAAATAATGTTGGGTGACTATAATGTAACTATAATTATTTAATGGGTACAATTGGCAATTCTAATTTTCAATAATTAACCAATTTTATTATTATGCCACATCCCACACTACCGCGGGTTGAATAATACCCACCCCATCACAAATAAGGTCGGATAATAACCGACGAAACGAATTTAAATTGTCATTCCTAATTACAACTCTACTATTTAGCGTAAGATAATCCTTCTCAATGAATTTTAGAGTAATTCTTATTCTTTTAATATTTAATATTTTCATTGCCATAGTAGGCTTTGGCGCTTTGCACATATTCATTTCAATGGGCAAAGCCCAATTCGGCCTGCCAGAATGGATTATACTACGTCTGTAGCTGAAAAAATACGGGTAATTATCATAAATGATTATAAAAGTATTCAGTATTCACTTAATACAAAACGATTATAAATCTTTAATTTTATACGTTTCAGTAAAATAAATTTGAGTGTAACAAAAAGGTCAATCTGTCCACTTTCATCCAAAATTCCTTTACTTTGTAACAATCAACATGACACGTCATTAAAAATATTAACAAACTATTAATACTTGATCACCAACTCGATTAACCCGTACTACTCTTGTCCCGCCAACCAAATTTCCAGAGGCAAAATCTTGTTGGGAACCAACCACCTCAAATTTCTCTACCTCTCCCGACTTTATCAACGATTACCATCCACAAGAAGGTCGTCTCGATCCGGGCGGCTTCAGTGAGATTGCCAGCATGAGAGATGCACTTTCTCCCATCCCGATCGTTCGAAAGAGGAGCGGAGCTTAGAAAGCGATGACGTTGGTTCTGATGACCTGCTGGAAGAACGGAAGCGCAACCACCATCAGAAGCTAAGACCGGCAATTGGTTTTCAGAATCTTCCTGAACGGGATATGAATCGATTTTGAGATCTCGCTCGCTTCGAGAACCGAGAGCTGCGATTGGACTTCTGCAGTTCACTCTCTAGAGAAGCTTCGCGCTCTGGCTTTGTCGTTTGTGCGGTGAATTGAAAAAAGAGGTTTGCCACCATCAATAGAGAGAATTGCCGCCATCAATAGAGAGGTTTGCCACCCATAGCCAGATTTGATCTTCTCGGCGTCGAAGTTGATGAGATTCGCGACGAGGGCCCCGATCGCGACCCTGAACTAGACTTTGTTGTTAATTGCTCCCTTGAACCTCACCAGTGCCATCTCACAGAGGTAGAGAGGCACGACTTGGTTGGTAAGAATTGGGATTGGGGGTACGACCGGGTGGGTATAGAGCTACTGAACCGGTTGGGTTATGTGGGCTAATTCAGTTGATAAAATAATTTTTTTATTGATATTTTTAATTACGTGTCATGCTGATTGGGTCAAAGTAACGGATTTTTGGATGAAAGTGGATGGATTGACCATTTTGCTATTCACTCAAATTTGTTTAACTAAAACGTACATAATTAAAGGTTTGTTACCGTTTTGTAAAAAAGATAGTTTTGTGATAGTTTATGATAATTAGCCGAAAAAGACAAAAAAACACAGCCCGACAACAATGTCAATCAGCGTCCCAAAACGACACCGCACGGGCGCTTTTTCCGTCTGTTGGTTTTTGACTTTTTGTCTTTTTCCCACTTCCTACGCTGTTCATTGGGCATTACTTACCAAGCAGCTCGCCGGAGCCAGCCACCGTCGGTTCCTCCTCTCCCCTTCACCAGCCGTTCAAATCGAAGCAAATCCCTAATTCCGCCGGTCCCAATTTCCTCTTCCCCTTCCCTCTCTATTCTGCAAGGTACGTTCACACGCTGCGTTTCCTGTTTACTCAACGATTTCATCGAGCACATTGAAGAACGCTGAATCAAGCAAATGGGCGCTCTGTCGAATTTACCTGAACACGGAATCTAGGAATTTGAATAATGGAGGCTTTCAGATTTCTCAATTCTATCATTGCAGAAGTCCTTTATAGAGCTGGATTTGAGGGTAGCCCTTTATGGAGGCTTCTTTTTGAGTGGGTGAATCGGCCATGGGTCGTGCCTTGGATCTGCAGGACTTCATCGTTCGATCTCGAGTGCTGAAGCTGTATAGGCAAGCGCTCCGGGTCGTTCGTAGAGCACCTGATGGTGCTAAAGGTACAATTAAGCTATGTGGGTTTTGTTTTGCTGTTGGAATTGCTCTTCGAATTCTGAATCTTTTGAGATTTGTTATAGTTGTTTTCATTGAAGGTTCTAGGTTATTAATTCTTCGGTGTATCCCTACATAACATATTAACATTATTCTGAGGATAGTCGAAGGTTTCTGTAATTAGGGCTCACGAGATGAAGTTGATCATTACTTTACAACTATCTGTAGCATTGGGTCAAAGGGGATTTAGCTTTCTTGAACTCCTGTTGAGTGGTTACTTAGATAATGTAGTGGAAAGAGCAATAGTTTAGCTCCATTGATCCCTGTAGTGTGAATATGCCAGTGAACCCCCTTTTTGATAGATGAACTATAACTTATAAACTTCTAGCTCTTATATGTTCTTCACAAGTTCTGTTCTGGATTTCGAAACGGGGGATTTACCTTTTAGCCGAATTGAATAAGGTGTCTTCATAAGTAGCAAAGCCTCTAGTTGCAAGAGATTCTGAGCCTTCTGAATTATGGAAGCAGTAATTGGTATCAACTTTCAGCCCTGGTTCCTAGTTGGGTTCCGACGTTTCGTTGGTGTGATTGGTATTGCCTTTCAGCACTCCTTCTGGTAGATTTTCTCGTTTACATTCAGTATTAGATGCTTCTGAGTTTCTCAATATGAAACCCCTAATTGATATGAACTTTCAGTATTGCTTCTCTAGCTGAGTTCCACGTTCAGTTTTACAGTATCGAAGCAGAAATCTGCTTATGCTGTCATTTGGACTTTCAATTTTGTGAGTTATGAAGCTGAAGCTTAACCTAGCTTATAGAGTTGTATCCAGTACATTTGTTCAGCTGCACCTCAAAAACAACGATGACGACTCATTGCAGATGAACTGAAGCAAACAGTTAGGCAGGAGATGGAGAACAACCGGAACTGCAACGACAGGCAGTCTATTCGATTTCTAATGAGCGACGGACTAGAGAGGCTGAAACGTCTGGATGAGACCCTGGATATGCAGGGTCGTTGACCAAACCTGGTTCTCATTCTCAGAGTAGATCAGAACTTCACTGTACCATGAGCATTTGTAACAACGGAAGACAAAAGATTCATGAATTGTTGATCCATTCACAAACTTGTTTGTATGCATGTTTTGCTTATTATTAGGACTCGAGCATTCCTAATTTCACTTGGTTCATGTGAGCTTGTGTGGTAAAACTGAAACAGTCAAGGATTTGACATAGGATCTTCTTTTCTGTCTCAGGGTTATTATTGATTTATTATTAATTTTGAGCTTATCTGAAGTTGTGGAATATTTGTCAAAGTCCGAATCCTAGTCGGGAAAAAGGAAAGTCCGAATCCTAATCGGAAAAAATGGAGAACGGGAAGAGATTAATAACAAGCTTCTTTCCTTTTCCGAAACAAGTAAGAAAATGTTGGCCGTATATAAATAAACCATTTCCATATTCCCCTCAGCATAACAATTTCCAAATATCAACCAAGGGAATTTCCCGGCGGCGGCGGCGGCGGCGGCGTCCCCTTTCTGTCGTCGGAGATTCCTTAGTACTGCTGCGAGTGCGACACTCCCCCACACAACACAATGAACAAGGTCGACGGGACCCAGCCGAAGCTGGTGGCTCTGAAGGACGTACTGCCGCCACATCCGGCAAGCTTGAATCGGCGGCGATACGTCAAACTGAAAGAACCCATCTTCAGGAACGGCGCCAAGGTCTATTGGAAAGAAGTCTCCTTCGCATCTCAAGAAGAAGAACACCGTCCCGGTGTCGACGAAGAAGACTATGCGGCGTCGGCGGCGTGTTTCAGCATTCTCTACTTCATACGCCATTCCATTGCTGGAACTCTTTAGAGTGTAGCTTGCTTTGTGTAGAAAGATTGTTTTTCTGGTGGTATAGTTCTGTTGTATTGCTTTGCTTGTTTGAGTAGTATTATTTTCTCTTCCCATGTTTGATTAACTCATTAGGCCTGGAATTAAGTTCCTGATTTCTTTTTTGTTCCAGGGTTTATAGTTGTGGATAATGTACGAGTTCTTGATCATGGAAGTTGTAACTAAGTAATGAGTAAGATGTTCAATACAGTATGTCATTGAACTAAAGAATTCTTTATTATTTATGGATAAGTAGTTGGTTAGAACAAAAATTTTTTTGACAAAAGATAATCATATATTGATTGAATATAGACACGGTTACATCCTGGAGAACAGCCAGGCTTGGAAATTAAAAGAGCGACACGTAGACGGGTACAAAGAAAGGGCCTTTCTAGCCACCGCATGGGCTATCCTATTGTTCCTCCGTCCTACAAACCGCAAACTAAACCCCGGCTGATTTCCCATACACTGCCTGATTTCGTCCAAGATCATCTCAATCCTACTATCTCTAGTCTCAGCTTGATTGATTTTATCGATGATGATCTTGGCATCGCCTTCAAAACGCACATCCTGGAATCCATTGGTCACGCACCAAAAGAGAGCTTCTCGGAGGACAAGCGCCTCCACCACTAAAGGATCCTCAATAACCCGATACTGGACCCCTTGCGCTCGGAGGACCACCCTATGAGGATCAAGAAGCACCATTCCGCCCGCAGAGTGGGACCCGACTCTTGTAGCCCCGTCCCACATACATCAGCGAGGTACCCCCCGGCAACCCTGGAGGATGGACATTAGGATCTCGTCCCAGCTCTATCCTATCAGCCGGCACCCGGTCCCATTCCTCAATCCTCACACTGCTGATGGAATTGCCGCATCAAGGCAGGAAACCCAAACTGCTTGCCTTCAAAGACCACCTAATTACGTGACTTCCAAATCCTCCAAAGAACTGCTACCACGGCCATGATCATACGAGGTTGATGAACTAAGGCAAACAGCCGTTTGAGAAACAGAGGAAAAGTGTGGCGAGGCAAGCCTTGTCCCAAATGTTCAAGCCCTGAATAGTGCCATAAAGCCCGAGCCACCGGACAGTCCAAGAAAAGATGTTCCATAGTTTGCGATGCCTCCCAAGTCCCAGCATACCGGGCAGCGAGGAAGAACAGGAACACTTCTTTCAATGAGACCCTCTGTGGTAGGTAGGATACGATGAAAAATTTGCCAAACGAAAACCTTTAATTTTGGGGGAATAGCAGCATCCCAAAGCCAAATCCAGCTGGCTCTATCCATCCAACTAGCCGTAGCCCTCCAACAGCCATTCCTTCTTGCCATGTCAACGGCCAAATGATAAGCAGATTTGACAGTGAACACGCCATCAGACGTGCCATGCCAGATCATTCTATCCGCCATATTCTACCTCGGAAGAGGAATAGATTGAATCATTCGACATGTAGAAGGGTCAAACCACTGGCTTAGTTTAGTGGCACACCACCCCCCTTCCCCATCCTGAGCCATAATCTCCGCCACCAACGGGTCACCCCCAACAGGAAGCACCTGCGGATTATAGGCCGGCTTCTCAGAATGCAATTGAGGAATCCAATTCGAGAACAACAGCGATGCCGACTGATAACGATGTAATTGCACGTATTTGCGCCCCTAGTTCTTATCCGTTTGAGGGGCATAGTCGTGTGTTTTTGGCCTATTTTATGCCGGGTTGTGCTATTTTGTCATGTTTCAGGTCCCAGGTGTAAAAGGGAAGGCTAAGCACGAGTTTCGGGGCATTTGGAAGTCATTTCGGTGAAGCTGAGCCAAAACACGGGCACACCTAAACCAGAACACGGCCGTGTTCTGAGACCGTGCTTTTACTGCCGAGAGCTAATTCGAGTTTGGCAAACATTGGCCAAAACACGGGCAGGGCTGAGATAGAACACGGGCGTGCTTCACCAAAGCACGGCCGTGTCCTCCCAAAAGCACGGCCGTGTTTCTCCTAGTGTAATTAACACTAGCCAAAGCACGGCGGGCTGAGGCATTACACGGCCGTGCCCTCGACCGTGCTTTGGCCACTGATGCCCTTTTAAGCATATTTTCAGCCAAAGAGAAGGGGATTCGAGTTTTTGAGAGAGAGAACGATTCCTAGAGAGAGAAAGCGACGAACAAGAGTCTCCAAGTGCCCTAGATTGATCTTCAACACCATTGGAGGCCAGTTTGAGCTTGGAGAAGTGCCGATCAACGTCCAGAAGCAGGAATCCATCCTTCACAGTATGAATTCCGCGTCTGATTCTGCTTTTGCTTTTTTCTCCATGGAGTAGTTCTCCCATTCATCTGGGTATGGAGAACCCTAGATTTGTATGTTAGGCTTTGATTGTATGAACCCAAGTACTGATTCTATGATTTGATTATATTCGATTGAGGTTTGAATGATTGAATGACTTGAATCCTGATCAAATTCCTGTTGTTTCTGCTTTAACCTAGAATGAGAATATATGCCTAGGTTGATAGAGCATCCTTGATTGAAGGTAGGGAGTTGGTGACTTTAGTCGAGGAGTCAACTCACTATTCTGTACCGGATTTACTCCGGTAGTAGAGGTTTTGTTTGTTAAGGCCTCAATTTGTTTACTTGGTGGAGGTTAGTCGCCCGCTAGAGACTCAGATTGAGAGGGTCTGAAGACCTTTAGTCGAGACTTCAGGCTGTTTAAGAACCTTCCGCAGTATAACTATCATAGAAACTGAACTTGGTAATTACAATCCGGCTTAACTGCATTCTAGGGGGAACCATATCCGGGTGACCTCTCTTAACCTGAATACAACAGTTTACTTGCTTTGTTTGTTTGGTAGTTTAGACTTGCATTCCAGTTTCATTGCTAGATAACAAGAATTCACTGAGTAGTCATCAAATCTAGGACCCGGGTTGATAATTAAACCCAAACCCGCTATACTACGCTTTAGGAAGTGGTTTCACTTGGCCAATTCCTGGAGTGACAGTAGAAGTGAGTAAAGTTTTTGGCGCCGTTGCCGGGGACGGCTAGGTTGTTGAAGAAAAGTGATTTCTGTTAATTTAGCTTTTCTTTTTGCTTTGTCTGCTTTGTTCCACTTGTGCCTTCACGGGTTTGCTTGCTTGATTGTGTGCAGGTAGTGCATGACCTGTAGCCAGTCGGGAGGTTTACTGCCGTTGAATCCAGAGATTGAACGCACCTGTCGCCAACTCAGGAGACAACAGCGGGCTAGACTGGCTACGGAAGAGCGCATAGACCGCCACGTGAGCAGTGATTCTGAGGAGGAGTACGAGATGGAAGACTACAATCAACACCAGGGGAATCCTCAGCAGGCTACCCCGGTGAATCAGGTCCTAGGGAACAACCCCATACCCCAGGATCATGGGGTTCATCATCCACCGCAGCCGGGTCCCACCTTGGAGTACTACTACACTCCTCAGATTGCTGACATCCGCCCGGTCATCCTCTATCCGCCCATTCCAGCAAACAACTTCGAGATCAAGCCATGCTGGATTCAGCTCATTACATCCTCTATCCAGTTCCATGGCTTGAAGGATGAGGAGGCCAGGGTACATCTTTCCCGTTTTCTGCAGCTGACGAACGGGTTCAAGCTGAATGGTGTCCCTGATGATGCAATCCGCCTTCATCTCTTCCCCCATTCTCTAGCGGGGAATGCTAAGAGGTGGTTGGAGACCCAGCCCCCATTGTCCATCACCTCTTGGGACGATCTGGCTGACAAATTCGTGCACAGGTACTATCCGGCATCGAAGACTACAGAGATCCAGCGGGAGATCACTCACTTCCGCCAAGAGCCAGATGAGTCACTTCGTGATGCATGGGAGCGGTACATGGGATACTTCTGGCAGTGTCCCCATCATGGCTTTAGTGATGCATTCACAGTGGGGAACTTCTACAGTGCTCTCTCTCTAGATAGCCAGAGGGTGATTGAGTCTCTATGCCCAGGAGGGGATATTCTTACTAAGACTCCACCCGAGCTGAACCAGATGATCAGTACTTTGGCTGCCAGAGATCATTCTTGGGGACAGGGTAACCGAGGCAGACAATCCCGGGACCGTGGTGTGCACGCCATGGAGACCAGATCCGGGCTCGAGCAGCAGGTAGCTGAACTAGTGCAGACATTGAAGCAGCCCAACAGTCTGATTCCGGGCAGAGGTTTGGCTACACCTCCAGTAGCTCAATGCCAGTGGTGCGAGAGCTCCAATCACCTAGTGGAGGACTGCCAGGCTATGAGGGAGTCTACCACTCCCCAAGAGCAGCTGGACTTCATCGCCAATGCTCGGCGCCTCGACCCGTACAGCAGCACATATAATGAGGGGTGGCGCCAGCATCCCAACTTCGCTTGGAGCAGCAACACCACTAAACCACCTGGTTTCCCAGCACCAGCAGGTGGTTTTCAGCAGAGGCAGCCCTTCCAGGCTCGACAGGGGCCAGCCCCACAGCAGCAGCCCTACCAGCCTAGGCAGGGGCAACCATTCCATCAGCCCCAACGTCAGTTTGTCGAGCCAGCACCTGCCCCAGATGACCGGATGACAAAGCTGGAAAATATTCTAGCTTCATTCATGACTAGCACTCAGGCTGCTATCACGTCACTGGAGGCAGGTCAGCGGAACCAGGGTGCCATTTTGCAGGATCTGCAGACCCAGGTGGGCATCTTGGCCCGCCAAAACACCACCAGGGCGCCGGGGACTTTGCCTGCCACTACTATCCCGAATCCTCGGGATCCTCACCAGCTCCAGCAGCTGGATGCCATTTTTACTAGGAGCGGTAAGACCATATCTGCTGATCCTGTCCCGGCCAGACAGGAGGAACCACTACCTGCTTCAGCACTTCCAGCCGACGATGCAGAAGTGCGGGTGGAGAAGGAAGCTCCTGCTCCCAAGCCACAACCAGTGGTTAAGGAGCATGTACCCCAGCTTCCTTTCCCCACTCGCCTACACAAAGACAAGTTGGAGACTGAGTTTGCCAAGTTTATGG